TGTTCAAACCCTCCATGAGTGATTAGGTAAATTAAATGTTACAAAATGCTGGCCTTAATTATCAATCTTGTATCATCCTCCGTTTGCAAATAAGGTTTTGATTTATGTCAATTACAATTGGAGTTCAATTGACCCAAAATATGGAACATATTAATTGATATTTCAGATTTGTAATTCATGTAACCTTCAACAATATCCAGGTTTAATGTTGAACATTTACAAGAGATCCTTGAAGGATCTTGGCACCCACCATGAAAGGATCTTGGCACCCACCATGAAAGGATCTTAGCACCCACCATGAAAGGATCTTGGCACCCACCATGAAAGGATCATCTTTGGTAGATCTGATCAAGAACCTTTCATGGTGGGTGCCAAGATCCTTTCAAGGTGGGTGCTAAGATCCTTTCATGGTGGGTGTCAAGATTCTTTCATGGTGGGTGCCAAGATCCTTTCATAGGAATAACAAATCTTAACTGTCAAAATCTGAGAAGACTATCTGTCGGCCTTTTCGTTTTTTTAAATCAGTCTCAAAGCAAACTAGCACAACTATACAGACCAAAGGAAACTTACATTTGATATTGAAAAAGATCCATACAATGGTCTTTGTTAGAAATAGCAATAATGAACCTTCAATGTAAAAATCCAAGATGGCCACCTATCAGCCGTTTTGTTTGTCAGAACAGTTTCAAAAGTGAACACGCACATCAAGATCTAGAGATCAAGGGGAGCATAAATATCAAATTTGAGAAAGGTCCTTCAAGACTTTCTGAGAAAAAAAGCGCTAACAAGAATTGTTCAAGGATGGACCACAGACGGACAATGGACCACAAATCACAGATGCAGGGCGATTTGAATAGCCAACCATCATCAGAAGATTGGCTTAAAATTACCGTCAGTTTATATATATCACACCTAGTTTACAATAACTTATGTAAATAAAATATACATTTGTAGGAATTCACCCAAGTCAAGTCCATGGTATGAAAAAAAATTATTTTTATTTTCAAAGTATACAATAGTTCTTGATTAAAAATGTACATAAAAATATTAGGTATCTGTCAACATAACATTGAGGAGTAGTGTTCACGTGCAGCCTCGATTCACTGTGTATTGTACCAGGTATTTCTCCTGTCTAACAGGGTGATAATGATAGCACAAATTAACAGGGGAGTTAACTCTCCTATTCATTGAAGTATAATAACCCTGGCACAGCAGCAGTACCGATCAATACAAGGACAGCTTTGTATTCATGGTCTGACCTGCAGAATACATAACCATGTATATGTTACATGCTACTTACTGTTCAGCCACCAAAATTAACAATAGTATATGTGCATCAAAGTAGCACAAGTCAATAATTAGTATATCAGATCATCAGCACGCAATGAAGTCACATATGTTTAAAGAAGGAAAACATCTTGGAGATAATTATGCAGAATAGCTTAAACCGTTAACTTGTACTTCAATCGGTCTGTAACAAGTGGCTATTTAAAAACCAGTTTCCTCTGGAAAATGTATAACATTTATACTCTTCTAACATTTTCACAATTTTTGTTTTTGTGATTAAAATTCTTAAGCATTACTGAGTATTGAATTAAACTATAAACATTGATATCATGTGTCATGCCTCTATCTGGGAGAAAGAGCATATAGACAGGGCATTTGTAACATACTTAAATAACAGAAGTGATATTTTTGTGAAATTTCACTTGAAAAGAAATTCATTAAAATATGGTTTCACTACTTGATTGTTTTTAATCTGTTAAATAAATTATATAGCTATGTCAATCACGATAATGTATATACATCAATTAGTTTCTGAGTCTGAATTACATTTGTGAATTGTAAGTGACGTTTTTCTTATATATCTAATTATTATGGTTAAAAGAATCTTGTGATATTTTTGGGAGCCCTTGTACACTTGTCTGGGTACCACTGATCACCATATCTCTTACACTAGGTGTACATTACATAAACGTATACATGATGACAACTCTCTATCAACAACCAGTCGTAAGTGTGACAGCTTGGTCGCGGACAAGCTTGTTGTAAGTGTGACAGCTTGGGCGCGGACAAGCTTGTTGTAAGTGTGACAGATTGGTCGCTGACAAGATTGTTGTAAGTGTGACAGCTTGGTCGCGGCCAAGCTTGTTGTAAGTGTGACAGCTTGGTGGCGGACAAGCTTGTTGTAAGTGTGAAAGCTTGGTCGCGGACAAGCTTGTTGTAAGGGTGACAGCTTGGTCGCGGACAAGCTTGTTGTAAATGTGACAGCTTGGTCGCGGACAAGCTTGTCTTAAGTGCGACAGCTTGGTCGCGGACAAGCTTGTCGTAAGTGTGACAGCTTGGTCGCGGACAATCTTGTTGTAAGTGTGACAGCTGGTTCGCGGACAAGCTTGTTGTAAGTGTGACAACTTGGTCGCGGACAAGCTTGTTGTAAGTGTGACAACTTGGTCGCGGACAAGCTTGTTGTAAGTGTGATAGCTTGGTCGCGGACAAGCTTTTTGTAAGTGTGACAGCTTGGTCGCGGACAAACTTGTTGTAAGTGTGACAGCTTGGTCGCGGCCAAGCTTGTTGTAAGTGTGACAGCTTGGTGGCGGACAAGCTTGTTGTAAGTGTGAAAGCTTGGTCGCGGACAAGCTTGTTGTAAGTGTGATAGCTTGGTCGCGGACAAGCTTTTTGTAAGTGTGACAGCTTGGTCGCGGACACGCTTGTTGTAAGTGTGACAGCTTGGTCGCAGACAAGCTTGTTGTAAGTGTGACAGCTTGGTCGCGGACAAGCTTGGTTACAACACCAATTACAGATATGTACAGTTAAGCATGTGATGAGACCAGCTAATAAATCATACAATTTGAACTTAATGAAGGTTGCATGCACAAGTTTCCAGGTCATTGTGATGACCCTTAAAAGTGATTAAGACATCTGTTACAGATTATTGCAATGACCCCCTAAGGGCATTCTGATGAACTTCATGTATACATGTCATTGCAATGGCCCATATGCATGGTTCTAACACAGAGAAAATGCCTTTTGATCAATGTTATGACTCTGAATGTTATAGTGACGACCTCTAAAGGTTACTGGAATGACCTCTAAAGTTCACTTTAATGACCCCTGATTGTCAATGACCCCAAAGGTTGCTGTGATAGAACCTGTCATTATAAGTTATCAGTGAAATCTTTTGGAATATATAAGAGGATTCAAGATTTTGGTCCATGGGCATGGTATAAATTTTGGCAGAATGATTCTAATGATGGATGGAGTTGAGAAAGAAATCAAATAATGAAACAAACCTAATAGATGGCAGCAGAATTCAAGATTTCACAAATGCATGAACAACAATTTTTTCATGTCATATTATGATATACATCCGTTCAAGTATTTCCTTACTCCTTAAAACAACCTTTAACACAGAAACCATCAATACATTATACATGTACCACATGCAATCTATCAGAAGTTACATAGTCACAGGACAAGTTTGTGTTCTAAATCACCAACCTATACTAACCCTGTGTTACGATGGGCCATGTATATTGGTCAAGTTTCCTCTAACATCCATTCTCCCTATATGAGTTCAAATTTCCCAATGATTTCAGGAAACAAAGGAAGACTAAACAGCCAGTCATTTCCTGTAATAAGCCCACCTCCTTTTCCACCTTAACCATAGTTATCCTGTAATAAGCCCACCTCCTTTTCCACCTTAACTGTAGTTATCCTGTAATAAGCCCACCTCCTTTTAAATCTTTACCGTAGCTATCCTGTAATAAGCCCACCTCCTTTTAAATCTTTACCGTAGCTATCCTGTAATAAGCCTACCTCCTTTTAAATCTTTACCGTAGCTATCCTGTAATAAGCCCACCTCCTTTTAAATCTTTACTGTAGCTATCCTGTAATAAGCCTACCTCCTTTTAAATCTTTACGTAGCTATCCTGTAATAAGCCCACCTCCTTTTCCACCTTAACCGTAGTTATCCTGTAATAAGCCCAGAGGTTAACACATGACTCCTGGCCCATGAAACCGTTCTCATGCTCAAGCATGGATTTTGTTCTCAAACCAACTTTCTTGTAACTCTTGTTTAAATATTGTCAAATGATCAAGAAGTCAATTGTAAACATTGGAAACAGTTTTCGGCTTTATGTCTCTTAATTTATAACGGGAACAAGAAATTTGGCTTGAGCACAAATTTCATACTTGAGCATGAGAACGGTTTCATGAATACGGGCCCTGGCTAACTAACGTGAAAATAAATATTTCATTAACATATCGGTGCTATAGAACAAAGACTTGTCCAAGCTTGTGACGTTACTGAGGAGAACGGCCATACTTAACAATAACCTAAGTAACAAATGTCATTGGTTCAGTAAATGGAGGAGTGTCCAGTCATATCATATGAAGATCATTTAAAACTTCGGAAACACGTGAAGCAAATAATTGGACATCTGTATCATTAAGCAGGACATGCACCCAATATAAATTCAATACATTTCTGACATCAATAATTAAAAATAAATAGTTTTACCCTCCAATTCTGTGATAAGATTCAGGGCTCATATATGTTGCAATTACACATTCTGCATATATGTGAGATGTATTTTTCCTCTTTTCCTAGTGAAACGGTAATTATTTTATATATATTGTTATATCTCTCATGATATTGAGTTTATATACAAGTTTCTAAGTAATTTACCTACTCAATAACCAAGAATACAACTATAATATTCTGTATATATACATTGTCTGTGCACTTAAAAAACAAAAGTTAATACATTGGATAATAAAACAAGAATCGTGTTAAGACTGGCTCATCATCTTTCAGATCTGTAAAATCTAGAATAACAATCATTATAACAATAGCGAATTAATGCTTTTAAATTTAAATTTGTCACCCTTGTAAAACAATAAACTGTAATCAGTGACATTTATCTCCCTTTAGTAGTAACCTCCCAATATTTAACATTATCTCCCTTTAGTAGTAACCTCCCAATATTTAACATTATCTCCCTTTAGTAGTAACCTTCAAATATTAAACATTATCTCCCTTTAGTAGTAACCTCCAAATATTAAACAAAACAAGTTTATACTTTGACAAAGACTATAGTTGTTTTGATTTCAGGTCAGCAGTAAAATGATTCAGAGTAATATCTAAGATTTTGGTGTGAAGTCACTATGCATGTTTCACAGTTCCATAAATAGTTTGTTTTCTCTTCAAAACACCAAGCTGGATCATCACCAGTGATGTCCTGTACTAGACAGCAATAGACAGTCAACCGTGATGTCCTGTACTAGACAGCAATAGACAGTCAACAGTGATGTCCTGTACTAGACAGCAATAGACAGTCAACCGTGATGTCCTGTACTAGACAGCAATAGACAGTCAACAGGGATGTCCTGTACTAGACAGCAATAGACAGTCAACAGGGATGTCCTGTACTAGACAGCAATAGACAGTCAACAGGGATGTCCTGTACTAGACAGCAATAGACAGTCAACAGTGATGTCCTGTACTAGACAGCAATAGACAGTCAAGAATATGTGTGCAGTACTGCAGAGTGGCCTTCCCTGCTACGTCCCCATCGCAGAGTGACCTTCCCTGCTACGTCCCCATTGCAGAGTGGCCTTCCCTGCTACGTTCCCATCGCAGAGTGGCCTTCCCTGCTACGTCCCCATTGCAGAGTGGCCTTCCCTGCTACGTTCCCATCCCAGAGTGGCCTTCCCTGCTACGTTCCCATCGCAGAGTGGCCTTCCCTGCTACGTCCCCATCGCAGAGTGGCCTTCCCTGCTACGTCCCCATCCCAGAGTGGCCTTCCCTGCTACGTCCCCATCGTGTGTTGAAGAGCTCAGAAAGCCTGTGGAAGACAAAAAGGAAAGGAACTATTAAAACAAAACATGGCTGCTAAGTGCAATTAAAGCAATAGGTTATGAACTAATATCAAAGTTTTACTTTATTCACAAACAATGTTCATTTCAAATATGTCGCAACATTTCTAGACTGACTGGCCTGGTCCTTTTGTTAAGCTATGCTGGAAGTAGGTCAAAGTCATTTATTTGGGGAAACTTTATAGCACTCCATGCCAGGTACCTATATAACACTGGCCAACTATCATTGTCCTGTGCCTCCTGGTTAATCATAAACAAGAGGCCCATGTGCCTTAACGGTCACCTGATATATTTATACAGAGTGCATTTTGTTTTTAACATGAACAGAAATATTATTCAAAGTGACAAAAAAAAATAAAACCACCTTATTCAATATCTAGCATAAAGATTTCAGACTAAAAAGTATTTGAAACTAGCACCTCTGATTCTAAACAAGGAAAATGAAGAAGTATCATTTGCCATTATAAACCATANGAGACCCCAGGGTCAAGAAATTCACAATTTCGGTAAAGCACCTTAAGACCCTTCCATCTATGAAGAGTATTTGATTCTACCATATCTGGGTCTTGAGAAGAAGATTTTTGAAATTTCAGTCAATTCAACCCTTTTTGGCCCCACCCATCAGCCCCTGGGGGTCAGTCAGGGCTCATAGGTGCATACTATCAAACTGCTACCTAATACTGATAATGCTAACCCAAATTGAATTACTTCCAATGGAAATTAAACAAATGTTGGTCCAAAATGTGATTTCCCTATATAAACTATAGTAAAGTTTACCCCCTCCCCAGGGGGAAACGTGAGACCCCAGGGTCAAGAAATTCACAATTTCGGTAAAGCACCTTAAGACCCTTCCATCTATGAAGAGTATTTGATTCTACCATATCTGGGTCTTGAGAAGAAGATTTTTGAAATTTCAGTCAATTCAACCCTTTTTGGCCCCACCCATCAGCCCCTGGGGGTCAGTCAGGGCTCATAGGTGCATACTATCAAACTGCTACCTAATACTGATAATGCTAACCCAAATTGAATTACTTCCAATGGAAATTAAACAAATGTTGGTCCAAAATGTGATTTCCCTATATAAACTATAGTAAAGTTTACCCCCTCCCCAGGGGGAAACATGAGACCCCAGGGTCAAGAAATTCACAGTTTTGGTACAGCACCTTAAGACCCTTCCATATATGAAGAGTATTTGTTTCTACTATTTCTGGGTCTTGAGAAAAAGATTTTTGAAATTTTAGTCAATTTGACCCTTTTTGGCCCCGCTCCACAGGCCCCTGGGTGCATGGGACTAAACCGGCCACTATTTTTGTTGACCTTTGTCCATTGAAGGTCCCTGCAAAATTTCATTGAAATTGGTTCAGGGGTTTTGGAGAAGAAGATTTTTGAAATTTTAGTCAATTTGACCCTTTTTGGCCCCGCCCCTCAGGCCCCTGGGGGCTTGGGACTAAACCGGCCACTATTTTCGTTGACCTTTGTCCATGGAAGGTCCCTGCAAAATTTCATTGAAATCGGTTCAGGAGTTTTGGTGAAGAAGTCGAAAATGTAAATTGTTTACGGACATTTGACCCTTGTGATATTGAAAGTAGGTCAAGGTCATTCATACCAGAAAAGCGCATTGCACTTTTTCCTAGGTAAATACAGGCAAAATATCATGGCCCCATGTCCTCCAGTTCTTTAGAGGAAGTCTTTAAAAAAAAGGTGACAGAGGGGTGACAACCCATCTTTACATAAGCTCAATTAGCACTGCGTGCCAGGCAAGCTGAAAACGGTATTGATTAGGAAACAACCCTACCGTATTTTGAGTTTTACTTTGGACACATAGGGAAGTATAATGTATTACATGTAATGCATAGATACATACATATATATATATACTGTTTCAAAATTGTCAGCTTTCACATATCAATAATGCAATACCAAGGGATCAACTTCATGCATGTGTCTTTATAGTTTCCTGTTAATCTTAAGTTCTATTGTTGTGACATAACAGCCCCCTTGTGAATGAGAAATGTATTTCCTTTTATGTTGGTAACACTTAAAAGCATTCCACACCCATTTTCTAAGATGAAAATGTACACATACTGTATACACTTATTCCCAGAGGAACACACTAACTTGTACACTGAACAGCATGTATATGTACATGTGGGTTCAAGTCACCTATCTTACACACTTTCAGAAAATCAATCCTTTTAAATCAAAAGATTCTACTGACAAAACGTGATATGCTGGTGATATGTTTCCATGGTGAAATACATTGTGGAGCATTAGTAAATCGCTATACTCTGTTCACCGTCCCCTTTTTTATTCCAGTCATACTTCCTTTCTTTCTTTCCTCATTTTCACTCTACCATCTGTCTTCCTACTTTCTCCTTTCCTTTTCTTTCAGTTACTCCTTTTTCTTTCCTTCCTTTATTTTTTCATTCCTGCTTTGCTATCTGTCATCGTTCTTTCGAATCAATCCTTCTAATTTTGTCATTTGTTTAATAAAATTATGAAACAAGAGCTGTTAGAGAACAGCATAGCCCACCTATAGATATTGGATATATATGTTGTAAGATTGCAAATATCAATAGAAACAAATTTGCTTAATGTACAGTAAAACCTCAATATAATGCCTGTCATTTCATTTGCCACCTCACTTACTGCCAACATATTCTCAGGTCCCTTAATTATGTTTTTTCTTAATACGTTTCCCTCAATTTATGGCCAAACCCCTTTATAATGCCAACATTTCTTTGAACACATGATGGCAATATAACAAGATTTTGCTGTACCCTAACATGTAAGAACAGATGACCAGCCAACATGAAACGGTCAACAGCGCATTGATGGAAGTGATAGATTCAACACTGCACAAAAAACTTGCCCAAAACATTTAACCAAGTCCAATTAAGCTTTTTTGGCCCTTAAAATATGAAAATATGGTCCAAAACATTGCTAACACCCCATATAAATACTTCATCCTTATAATAGACAATAGCCTATTGATGGTGGTGATCCATCAATACTACACATAAAAACTTGCTCAAAAACTTTAACCTCAAGCCTCAAACATTTTAACAAAGTCCAATTAAGCTTTTTTTTGGCCCCTAAAATATGAAAATATGGTCCAGCACATTGCTTACACTCATTATTATGAATGCCTTAATCTCATAATCTCATAATAGACAACTGTTTATTTAGTGTGATGATCCAACACAGTCTTGAAAAAACTTGCCAAAAAACTTAAAACCTCAGAAGGTAGGACGCCGACGTCGACGTCGACGCCGATGCCAGGGTGTTTCGTTTCAACAAATGTTATTGAGTTTAACTCATTCACCCCTGAAACACATTTGAACTGTTCCAATTCAAAGGTTGGAATAGTTCATTTTGAAATTTCAGGGGTGAATGAGTTAAAGGATTAGACAACAGGCAGTGCCTATATAAGTGTTCTCCTGAACCGTTACAACATATATATATATATATATACATTTACACAGAATAATAAGGTATATTTGCAAAATTTTCCATAATTAATTACTTATTGACATTATTGAAATAAATGGACAATTTTTATAGAAAATATGTACATTGTATATATATTCAAATTAATATACTTAATGTTGAACTAAACACGCACTAATACGAAGGCTCACTCATCCACCGATGGCGTAGATCTCTAGGTCACTTTCCATGTTATGCACATTGAGAAGTGCGCCACTGGCAATGTTAACATAGATACAGTGTACTTCTAACCCCCCCCCCCCCCCCAACACACACACACACACACACACACTAGGAGCAGATAGATATAACGGCAAGCACTTAATAAAAATACACTTATCATATTCAAGTTAGATGAATCTATTAGTATTAGTTAAATTAATAAATTCCTCAACTTTAGATAAAATAAAAGTATTAAATTCTGGTGATAGCTCATTATCACCTGAGGTAAGTAATTTAAGACTAATAAAACCAAGAACTGAACTGATGGACAGAAAGTTAGAAATGTGCCCTTCAAATTCAAAATATGTAGAAAAAGATATATACATTTACAGTGTAATTCCAAGTCATTAATCATCAGCTCACTGCCTGAAAGTCAAGTGAGCGGATGCCAGGTCATACAATGTCTGTCTGTCAAAACTGTCAATTTATAAAAAAAATCAAAGATTCCATATTTTTTCAATTTATACAAAATGCTTTGCTAATATCACAGAAAACTTATCTAATATCTTTACCTTGATCTAAGTTTTTAATTATGGCATCATATATAGATAATAGTTGATTGACTGTTGAGTCCTTGGGTTGGAAACCAGATTGATGGTTACTAATTATGTGATGTTTAGTTACATGGTTAAATACATATTTCAATACAATTTTTTCGAAGATCTTAATAAAACATGAAGTAACAGCTTTTGGTCTATAGTTATTAGGGTCTTCCATGGAGCCTTTACCTTTATATAGTGCATTAACATTAGCAGATTTCCATATTAGTGGAATTCTACCTTGTGAAATAGTTTTTTGAAAAAGAATTTTTAGATGTAATATTAGCGAGGGTAAGAGATTTTTTCACTGATTTAGGTGCAATATCATCAGGTCCTGGGGGTTTATTAACATTAATTAATTATATCTGGTCTTGAACATCCTGATCAGTTATCATGATATTATCAAATTCAAGGTGACTAAGGGGAGGTAAGTCAAACTCATGGTTTCAAGTATTGTTATAATTAGATGAAAAGAAATTATTTAAAGCTTCCGCTTTATCAAGTAGATGAATCAAAATATTATTACCTACTTCTAGAGGAGGTGAGGATTTACTTTTATTGGAAAGGTTACTTATAGATTTAGCTATACGCCACCATTTCCCAGGAGGAATTGATTTATCAGATAAGGATTTTTTTAAGTTTTTTAAAATAATTATCTTTAGCTGTTCTGATGAGATCTATACAATTGTTACGTGCTAATCTAAATTTATACCAATCGTTCTCTTTGTTACTATTAACTGGAATTTTCTAAAATCCACGGTTTATCATTAGGTCTGATCATTTTCTAAGGAATATGAATTTCAGCTAGGGTTGATATTTTATCATTTAGAATTTAATGCTGTAAAAATCAACAGATGTTATCATTATTAGTAATTACTGTTTCCCAATCAACAGATAGTAGATTGGAATTAATCTTATCAGAAATGGTTTTTCCTACAATATTTCCCTACTTTATAAAACCCTTTTAATACCCATGGTATATAGGGATATATAACTTAATCAATTCCAGGAGGAGATGTTTCAAACTGAATTTGTTTTTGCTTTAGTTACACATACGGAACAAATGACATCTGCTGCTATCCACTTCACCGTGTGTAATTAATTATCCACCCATCATCATCATCACTGTGTCTGGATCCCAGTTTCTCTTTGTGAGATTCATTAGCATGCCCATCATATTTGTGGTTTCATGAGTACAAGATATGTTTGTGTTAGATAGGGTGTACTTAGTGACCGTCAGACACTGAACACTCCAATCCGCCATTAAAAAAGTTAAATGTATATGTGCATTTACAACCTGTCAATAACTGACTGACATGATTGTATGACATTACACCCTGTCAATAACTGACTGACATGATTGTATGACATTATACCCTGTCAGTAACTGACTGACATGATTGTATGACATTACATCCTGTCAATTACTGACTGAGATGATGGTATGACATTATACCCCGTCAATAACTAACTGACATGATTGTATGACATTATACCCTGTCAATAACTGACTGACATGATTGTATGACATTACACCCTGTCAATTACTGACTGAGATGATGGTATGACATTATAACCTGTCAATTACTGACTTACATGATTGTATGACATTACATCCTGTCAATTACTGACTGAGATGATGGTTTGACATTATACCCCGTCAATAACTAACTGACATGATTGTATGACATTATACCCTGTCAATAACTGACTGACATGATTGTATGACATTACACCCTGTCAATTACTGACTGAGATGATGGTATGACATTATAACCTGTCAATTACTGACTTACATGATTGTATGACATTACATCCTGTCAATTACTGACTGAGATGATGGTTTGACATTATACCCCGTCAATAACTAACTGACATGATTGTATGACATTATACCCTGTCAATAACTGACTGACATGATTGTATGACATTACACCCTGTCAATTACTGACTGAGATGATGGTATGACATTATAACCTGTCAATTACTGACTTACATGATTGTATGACATTACATCCTGTCAATTACTGACTGAGATGATGGTTTGACATTATACCCCGTCAATAACTAACTGACATGATTGTATGACATTATACCCTGTCAATAACTGACTGACATGATTGTATGACATTACACCCTGTCAATTACTGACTGAGATGATGGTATGACATTATAACCTGTCAATTACTGACTTACATGATTGTATGACATTACATCCTGTCAATTACTGACTGAGATGATGGTTTGACATTATACCCCGTCAATAACTAACTGACATGATTGTATGACATTATACCCTGTCAATAACTGACTGACATGATTGTATGACATTACACCCTGTCAATTACTGACTGAGATGATGGTATGACATTATAACCTGTCAATTACTGACTTACATGATTGTATGACATTACATCCTGTCAATTACTGACTGAGATGATGGTTTGACATTATACCCCGTCAATAACTAACTGACATGATTGTATGACATTATACCCTGTCAATAACTGACTGACATGATTGTATGACATTACACCCTGTCAATTACTGACTGAGATGATGGTATGACATTATAACCTGTCAATTACTGACTTACATGATTGTATGACATTACATCCTGTCAATTACTGACTGAGATGATGGTTTGACATTATACCCCGTCAATAACTAACTGACATGATTGTATGACATTATACCCTGTCAATAACTGACTGACATGATTGTATGACATTACACCCTGTCAATTACTGACTGAGATGATGGTATGACATTATAACCTGTCAATTACTGACTTACATGATTGTATGACATTACATCCTGTCAATTACTGACTGAGATGATGGTTTGACATTATACCCCGTCAATAACTAACTGACATGATTGTATGACATTATACCCTGTCAATAACTGACTGACATGATTGTATGACATTACACCCTGTCAATTACTGACTGAGATGATGGTATGACATTATAACCTGTCAATTACTGACTTACATGATTGTATGACATTACATCCTGTCAATTACTGACTGAGATGATGGTTTGACATTATACCCCGTCAATAACTAACTGACATGATTGTATGACATTATACCCTGTCAATAACTGACTGACATGATTGTATGACATTACACCCTGTCAATTACTGACTGAGATGATGGTATGACATTATAACCTGTCAATTACTGACTTACATGATTGTATGACATTACATCCTGTCAATTACTGACTGAGATGATGGTTTGACATTATACCCCGTCAATAACTAACTGACATGATTGTATGACATTATACCCTGTCAATAACTGACTGACATGATTGTATGACATTACACCCTGTCAATTACTGACTGAGATGATGGTATGACATTATAACCTGTCAATTACTGACTTACATGATTGTATGACATTACATCCTGTCAATTACTGACTGAGATGATGGTTTGACATTATACCCCGTCAATAACTAACTGACATGATTGTATGACATTATACCCTGTCAATAACTGACTGACATGATTGTATGACATTACACCCTGTCAATTACTGACTGAGATGATGGTATGACATTATAACCTGTCAATTACTGACTTACATGATTGTATGACATTACATCCTGTCAATTACTGACTGAGATGATGGTATGACATTATACCCCGTCAATAACTAACTGACATGATTGTATGACATTATACCCTGTCAATAACTGACTGACATGATTGTATGACATTACACCCTGTCAATTACTGACTGAGATGATGGTATGACATTATAACCTGTCAATTACTGACTTACATGATTGTATGACATTACATCCTGTCAATTACTGACTGAGATGATGGTTTGACATTATACCCCGTCAATAACTAACTGACATGATTGTATGACATTATACCCTGTCAATAACTGACTGACATGATTGTATGACATTACACCCTGTCAATTACTGACTGAGATGATGGTATGACATTATAACCTGTCAATTACTGACTTACATGATTGTATGACATTACATCCTGTCAATTACTGACTGAGATGATGGTTTGACATTATACCCCGTCAATAACTAACTGACATGATTGTATGACATTATACCCTGTCAATAACTGACTGACATGATTGTATGACATTACACCCTGTCAATTACTGACTGAGATGATGGTATGACATTATAACCTGTCAATTACTGACTTACATGATTGTATGACATTACATCCTGTCAATTACTGACTGAGATGATGGTTTGACATTATACCCCGTCAATAACTAACTGACATGATTGTATGACATTATACCCTGTCAACAACTGACTGACATGATTGTATGACATATGCATTTTACCCTGTCAATAACTAACTGACATGATTTTATGACATTACACCCTGTCAATACCTGACTGACATTATTGTGTGACATTACACCCTGTCAATAACTGACTTACATGATTGTATGACATTATACCCTGTCAATTACTGACTGAGATGATTGTATGACATTATACCCTGTCAATTACTGACTGAGATGATTGTATGACATTATACCCTGTCAATTACTGACTGACATGATTGTATAATGTTAAATTCTGATGCCAATAATATACATGCATGTCAACAATAACATGTGTCAATATTGCAAGTACAGGAAACAAATGTATACATAATCTTGAATTCCTCTAGTGACCATTGTGTTCTAATCAGCTCATGTATGGATATGTATCAGCTGTCTGCCACAGGGAAATCTATAGAAAATGTCCCCAGGTTTATGTACAGCAGATAATGTAACAGTGTGGACAGGCACGGTGTAAATACGTAGTATATATGTGAGAACATCATTACTTTAACCCAGCATTTACAAGTGTCCTGTTACATAGATATGATTATATAAGCAATCAATCAAAGGTCATGACCCCTCCCTACTGGTGAAAACTGTAATGCCATAGGAGCAGGTCTGGGTCACTGAAATGATGAAAAATTGTGGTCAAAATCCTTTAAGTTACACAGACACATCTTGACCATATATAGAAAGTAAATTTTCAGAATTATTGAAAATCATTGCTGAAATTACAAGAATAAGGATTCAGAATGACTGTAAAAGGTAAATCTATGTTATCTTAATTGCCTGCTCTTATACCAAACCTCAGGTATTGCATACATGCATCTGATATATCAAATTTAGGCTGTGAGTTGTTTTGTTTTGGTTTGGTTTGGTTTGAGTGTGGGGGGGGGGGGGGGGGGGGGGGGGGGGGGGTAAATAGATAATAATAAACAAAACAATTATAATACACAATCAAAATCAAAAGCAGCACCAAGTATTTCCATATACTAATTATTAAATATCCAGCTAAATTTAAAAATGGATTTACATATGATACAATCATTACTAATTATTTTGTACATGTATACAGTACAATCTGTCCATTTCCACTCACAATACACACAATACAAATCATCAGCTACATATATATATATGTTAGATAAATAACTGTGGTGGGAAATGTCAACAAACCGACAATAATGAGCTTGAGTTAGCCTGATGAGATCACCTGTACAGGTGTATACAGGTGTATACATGTACAGGGCTAAGGTGTGCTACAGGCTTAGCATGATGTCATAAGCTATAGCTGTTCATCACAACAGCATGACTTTTGCTATAGGGGGGTTCACAGCTTGATTGCATATATACATACAGTAAAACCCAGCTAACTCAAACATGTGCGGTCCAGATAAATTGTTCAAGGAATACATGGTATGCAATGAATCAGAGCTAGGTTCGTCTGACATTGTCATTTTTTGGCCAGGTGGGACGATAGACAGCACGAGTGCTGGAAATATCGTAGATATATAGAAGATGATAGAAGTAAAAAAAAAAAGTTTAAAAAAGATGACAACAAAATAGCCATCCGTATTAAGAAAGGACGTAAAATAAAAAAGCTGTATATATGTTATGTACATGCCAATTAGACAGTCCACCATACTTTATTTGGCTACGTACTATAATATTACAAAAGGAGAGGACACTTTTTCAAAACGAAGAAAATCTTGTATCTAAATATTATAGTGTTAATTGATAAAGAAATTAACAATCTAATTAAATCAATGGTTTAACACACCAGAGCTTAAAATTAATTTTTAAAACCACCAGTGGTTTGGACTAGTAGTTTCCAATTTAACTAGTCCATGTGCACATTCAACAAACCAAAAATTCTCAATCAGGCTAAGGCCAAAAAAAAAAGGTGTCTGTTTAGGGTTCCCGACCGACCCTAGCTTTTTACCCCAGACCCAAAACTTTTTGATGAAAAAAAAAATAAAAAAAATATAAAAAAAACAACTTTTTTAAAAAACCTGCTGATTTTTCGAATTTTAGAAGGTTCCTTGCCTTTCAAAATGGCTTCCAGCTCCGTATTGGCGCTAAATGTCATCATATGGATCACAGTTTGCCTCCAAATGAACCTTGTTTATATTCTCTGTTTTACATACGATAGTAGGGTGTTTTACATACGATAGTAGGGTCATAATCACATGACCATGCAAAAATATATAAAAAAAAAAAAAAAAACGACCTACCTACCCTAGTTTTTTTGCCAATGCAACCCTAAACAGACTATATATTGACAATATGGTTGTTAAAAATATCAAAATACTACAGATTTGATTGCGTTTCAAATGATCCCTATTTTACTCCATACCTCGACATAACCTTGTTATTACTAACTGATACAAGTAATAAGCTATGTGTAGTTATGGACTATTGGAGACGAATATTGCCCGGGGCAGTCTACATAATGTGAACCTAACCTTGGCTGATCATGAGGCGATTGATTTATTACACTATATATCAGTATGTGATATCATCAGCATATACTTTGTAGGTCTATCAATGTTTCTATCATCAGTATACCCTGCAGGTTGATATTTTGTAGGACTAATAAATTCCCCAATCCAGGCTGGCTCGAGCTATACATTTGAAATAATTATGCAGTATATACATATATGCAGTGATTAATCTACAAGTCATTTTTACAAGTCCTTTTCAACTTGTATTGCTAAAATCAATGAGTCCCGGGCCCCAATGTTAAATTTAAGTATTTCCAGAAATTTTGTGAGTCCCAAATAAATTCTATGAGTATAAGTATAGGACTCGCATGTAGATTTATCACTGTATAATATATATGTAGACCTTTTGTTTGACGGCAATGAAGGCCTATCAAACCCAGTCTACCACTCATGGATCTGGGAACAGGACAATTCAAATTAAAGTCTATCTCCAAATGACATGTCTCCCTGGTCCCAGATATTCTGTATCCTGTAGCTAGGTGGACAGGTCTGTTGTTATATCCGCCCTGATTTGCTACAGGCCTGAGATATTTATCATCTATGTCATCAGCATCAAAGGTGTTTGACATCACTCAGAAAACTATCCGTTTCAATGCCAGCAGTCTGTAGAACAGTTTGAGATATGTAGTATATACAGACCTTGGAGACTATATACCAAGTTTCAGCAAAGTCTACAAAAATGGAAATGGCTTTGTTCACCAACTTATATTGCTTGCAAACATTTGTGACTGCATCTAGCTATAGCTTGCTGATCAATAAGAAACATTCATCAGTCTAAAAGCTTTTAGTGTTTATACTACACAGACACCTTAAAAGTATTTTGTGTACTGACAGTGTATATGTACCCCTGACGTACACCACTGACACCTAGTATTATGTGTACTGTGTACATGTACCCCTGATGTATACCCCCATTCCATTACTACACTGACACCTAGTATTATGTGTACTGTGTACATGTACCCCTGATGTATACCCCCATTCCATTACTACACTGACACCTAGTATTATGTGTACTATGTACATGTACCCCTGATGTACACCACCATACCATTACTACACGGACACCTAGTATTATGTGTACTGTGCATGTACCCCTGACATATACCACCATACCATTACTACACGGACACCAAGTATTATGTGAACTGTGTACATGTACCCCTGACGTACACCACTGACCCCTAGTATTATGTGTACTGTACATGTACTCCTGACGTACACCACCATACCATTACTACACAGACACCTAGTATTATGTGTACTGTACATGTTCCCCTGATGTATACCACCATACCATTACCACACTGACAGTATTATGTGTACTCTGTACATGTACCCCTGATGTATACCACTGACACCTAGTATTATGTGTACTGTGCATGTACCCCTGACATATACCACCATACCATTACTACACGGACACCTAGTATATGTGTACTGTACATGTACCCCTGATGTATACCCCCATACCATTACCACAAGGACACCTAGTATTATGTGTACTGTACATGTGCCCCTGATGTACACCACTGACACCTAGTATTATGTGTACTGTGCATGTACCCCTGACATATACCACCATACCATTACTACACGGACACCTAGTATATGTGTACTGTACATGTACCCCTGATGTATACCATTGACACCTAGTATTATGTGTACTGTACATGTACCCCTGACGTACACCACCATACCATTACTACACTGACAGCTAGTATTATGTGTACTGTACATGTACCCCTGACGTAACCCCCATACCATTACTACACAGACACCTAGTATTATGTGTACTGTGTACATGTACCCCTGATGTATACCCCCATTCCATTACTACACTGACACCTAGTATTATGTGTACTGTACATGTACCCCTGACGTATACCACTATACCATTACTACACGGACACCTAGTATTATGTGAACTGTGTACATGTACCCCTGACGTACACCACTGACCCCTAGTATTATGTGTACTGTACATGTACCCCTGATGTATACCATTGACACCTAGTATTATGTGTACTGTACATGTTCCCCTGATGTATACCACCATACCATTACCACACTGACAGTATTATGTGTACTCTGTACATGTACCCCTGATGTATACCACCATACCATTACTACACTGACTCCTAGTATTATGTGTACTCTGTACATGTACCCCTGATGTATACCACTATACCATTACTACACTGACACCTAGTATTATGTGTACTGTACATGTACCCCTGACGTATACCACCATACCATTACTACACGGACACCTAGTATTATGTGTACTGTACATGTACCCCTGACGTATACCACCATACCATTACTACACGGACACCTAGTATTATGTGCACTGTGTACATGTACCCCTGACGTACACCACTAACACCTAGTATTATGTGTACTGTACATGTACCCCTGACATATACCACCATACCATTACTACACGGACACCTAGTATTATGTGAACTGTGTACATGTACCCCTGACGTACACCACTGACACCTAGTATTATGTGTACTGTGTACATGTACCCCTGATGTACATCACCATACCATTACTAAACGGACACCTAGTATTATGTGTACTGTACATGTACCCCTGATGTATACCACCATACCATTACTACACTGACACCTAGTATTATGTGTACTGTGTACATGTACCCCTGATGTATACCACCATACCATTACTACACTGACACCTAGTATTATACATGTACCCCTGATATGCTCACAAGAAAGTATTAACAGACTGATTGATATGTCATGGGGAATAGGTCCCATACCACTGCTTTCTTACCAATTATATGTCATATTACTAAAAGATTGAGATGACAGTTAGTAAGTATGACAGATAAATACTCTTCATTCTGATTTATCTATTTCTAACCAAGCAAATTTACATCTCCGTTTCAAAAATAGAAACTGCAGAGGTTGCACGTGTCAGTGTAAAATAAGTAGGGTACCCATATTTTTGTGAAGTAATAAAGTTTGATCCCCTGGGCTGTAGGCTTTGGGTGAGCGCCGAAGGCCCTAGCCGCCGCTAGGGGGAGAGTACGAGAGGGGGTGGCAAGCCCCCCTCTCTTAAGGCCGATACAGGGGATCTCCCCCGGGAAGCTTTTGTTTTGTAGATGCCAGGAGATGGCATTTCAGCCCCTCTAAATGCTAAATTATCTTGCATTCATGGAGAAACAGAGAAAAATTGGAGAAAGTTCAATAAAAATCCGAGAGCAGATTTTCATATCATCGAATCGGATTAACTATGCTAAAATCGGAGGAGTTAGCATCTCTGCCTTCTGCTAAGGCCATCCTTTTGGATCGTTTCAGTCAAACCAAGATGCACTGACAGTAGAGGAAAACATGTATGCCCCTCCACTTAAGTGGCAGATATATATATATACTGGGTAGAAATATACAGTTATCTGTAATACTCAGCCCTTATACTACCAGGGTACATGTATATCTGAAAGTAGAAAGTTCCTTTTTCAGTTTTTAAAGTAAGGCTTTTTTTGGTTTGTAGTTTAATAGCTAATTTTTCTTAAAAAATAACTTTTTAAAAAAAATGAATCCCTTGGTAACTGAAGCCTTCACTATAGTGTTTCTGTTTCTCGTTTTGTTTTCTAGCAGCGTTGTCGCCTTGCTTTCAATAAATTTCCTGTAGAAATTGATCAATGGAAAAAGATAAAGTGTCCTTTTGGGAGTAGAAATGAAATTTGTTTTGTCTTGGTAGTCCACAGAGACCTCATTACAAGAAAATCAAGTTATTTTCCTACTTTGTATTGGAAACATAAATGGCATATTGAATTTTGCATGTTTCTGTGCACGAAATTTGATCTTATTTCAGTTCAGATGAAAATTCAATTATTTCTATGAAAGTAATTACAAGAAAGAAATTACAAGAATTAGCATATATATTAATATCCTTTTGTGAAAATTACCCTCCTAAGAAGTTGTGGATTCTTGTTAATAGCTAAGTTATGCCACTGGCCATATTGGGTCATGATCATCATTGTTTATATTGTACCTTAAGCATGAAATTATTTTAAATTACATGTAGACCTGTACCCTCCCAATAACTTCAATCCATACATAGTTGTGTACTGATGAAGCACAATAAGTATTTCTGTATATAATTAGGAGTAATTTATATATAGATAATTACTAAATCCTCAAGACCATTTTTAGAAAAGCACTGACAAAGTTAAGATATCAAACCAGACACAATTAAAACTGTTTTCAAAAACAAAGAGGCTCAGAGGGCCTGTATCTTCCATCTAGATATATATATATATATATATATCATGGCCAATATTTTCATTCAAAGTATTGCAAATATTTCCCCATTTTGCACTCTATTCTTTGACTCGGCTAGCGCTTTTCATGGCAAATATGGTTGAGATCTGTATATATGTATATATTGCATGTTACAAAGTTGAGATCTGTATACATGTGTATGTGTTTATTGCATGTTACAAAGTTGAGATCTCAATTAATTGAGTGAAATGACCAAAACCTTTTGCCTGAAAAAATGTTTCCAAAAAGTCACTGATTTTTAATCAATAAGGTCATAGATTAGAACAAGAGGCCCATGGGCCTTAACGGTCACCTGATATATTTATACACAGAGAGTTGATTTTGTTTTTAACATGAACAGAAATATTATTCAAAGTGACAAAAAAACAATAAAACCACCTTACTCAATATCTAGCATACAGATTTCAGACTAAAAAGGATTTGAAACTAGCACCTCTGATTCTTAACAAGGAAAATGAAGAAATTTTAGCACACTGACTCCTTTGAGCCCCACCCTACAGCCCTTGGGGGTAGGGCTGGCTCAAAATTTTCAAAGTATCAAACTGTCAATTCAAGGTTATAATTCCAATCAAGTTATTAACATGTAATATTCAAAGTATCATTTGCCATTATAAACCATAATAAATTT